ACGTCCTACCCACGCGGTTATGTCTTAATTTTCATAGTGCAGAGAACCTTGGCATTGCACGTGATTGCACCAGCAAAGGAAGTTGAAGCATCCTGATTCTGGGTTGTGAAAAAATTCGGGTATAATACTGTCAGCAAATATGCATTGTCAACTATGCAACCGTTCATTGCTAATTTAAGTTAAATAATGATGTGCACTTTATTGAGGAATTATTTTCAGCGCCATGTACGCCAACTACTCATTGCAATGCGAGATTCAATAAATATTTAAGCTTCCATTTTTAGTGAAAGCTTAAACAACGTGGAAGATTATTGTAACTCTCCCATTGCTTTGTAATTAGTTCTTTGGGGCTCTAATCTGCCAGTGCGGGAGCCCCATTAACCGCAGAGCGATGATAAATCTCCTAGAATCGCCACGCCCAACGTTGCTGAAGTTGTCGCTGAGTATAGCGGATTCAACGTCTTCAATACTCCCGATCACAGCAAAGTAGATTTTTTTCTTCAGCGAAGGTTGATGACGCAGCTGGCTCGATTTTATTTTATGAGATGACCCCGTGACAACAAGAGCAATTACCCGTTCGATAGAAACTTCATTAAACAAACAAGCTTACGCAATTAAGCGTTGAGTCGGCAACTAGAACGTCAAAAGAAATTTACCTACCTCGAGGATAACGGCAATGTGGCTGAGAAGCGCCCGCAGCTATTTCTGGAATCAAGATGAACAAACGTGCAGATTTAATCCGAATTAAATTTTTTTTAATGGGCCACGAAATTACATTGTGTTTGATCGGTTTGCACATCCTGTGACGGTAAGGTTACGGACCAACCTACTGATGTGTAATCAATGCGTGCGAAACATGAAGGTTCAAAGGTACTCACTGCACACCACGATGAAACAGATGACCAACGAGACCATCACCTTGTAACCCCACGACATGTTAGCTGCCAGTCCGTCGAGCTTTAGTTGTAATTTTTTGAAAGGGGTGGATGCTCACCACAGCGACGAACAGCTGTCTTATACCCGTATACCTTATGCTACCCGATCTCGGTTCTATACGTCCGGACCGTGGAGCTTGCAAACTGCAGGAAATGTTCCAGGTGAAAGCCATTTTTTTTTTCTTCTGCTATCAAATGCGGAAATGGTAAAAGAAAAAGACAGACATGTTCAACATGAATGGTTGCTCTTCAGATAATCGAGTATGGTATTTTTTATAAACAAACTTTACGGTCGTGGCCTCTCCTCCCCGAGAGAGAGTTTAGTCTTAGCTATGCGCTCTAGCAAGCTACTTTGTGGTGGGGAAGGGGAGGGAGACGGAAAGACGATTGACAAAGGGTCAATGATGATAAGATGAAATATTAAATTATATACACGCTATAGTGTCTAGTTTCAGAATGAGAAATAGAGAAAGACGACAAAAGTAATTATAGCACTGTCAGCAAGTCAATGTCCTCGAGGAATTTAACGAGAGCTTTTAAGGTTGCTCGATGTTTCTTAGCAGGCCAAGGTCCGAGAAGCTTTGATAGGTCAAAAGGCCTACAGTCCAGAGCATTCGTAGAGTTCTTTTAAGCTTTGCGTTCATTTTCAAATGCTTGACATGTGAGTAGAATGTGACTGATGGTTTCCGGCGCACCGCATTTCTTACAGTCCGGAGTCGCACGTTGTTTTATTTTAAAGTGATAGTTCTTCGTGTATGCACAGTTGAGAAGTCTATGTATAAGAGTTTCTAAATTTCGTGGTAGGTCGCTTGGTAATCGTGTTGTTAATAAAGCGTCTATGTCATACAAAAATTTGTAGTTAGAATCCGTTGAGGACCAAAGCATCTCACGTGCACTTTTTGCAATATTTCATGTCAGAGATGTACAATCGCCTTTTGTAAAAGGAACCATTCGTGTTGAGATGTGCTGGTGGGCCCTCTTGGCCGATTTGTCAGCACATTTGTTACCCCGTATACCGGAACGTCCTGGTATCCATTGAAAGGTAATTTGGTGAAACGTATTCGAATGCTAGGTGCCGGTACTCAGCTATTTCTAGGGAAGAAATCGAATACATCGATTTCTTTCCTATAGGACTGAGCGACTGTAAAGCACATTTCGAGTCTGTAGATAAGGTTCATTGTTGTGGTGGTTATTGACATATATACTTGATTAATTCCTTAATTTCGTGAAGCGCAGCGGCTTTTGATGATGTATGATGGTTTAGACGAGAAGATCTTGCAAGAAATCTCGATGGAACGAAGAATGCTGATGATAAAGTCGACACCGTTGTTGAGCCCTCGGTATAGATGTGCGTTGTTCTAGTGCAAGTTTCATATATGGAACTCATTACAAGTTGTAGCATAACTAAGCTACGCCGTTGGTGTTTTGCAAGGATTCGGGGGATGTTTAAATTGATATCCACTTTTTCGAAACGTCCATGAAGGTATTTTGGAGTATTCAATAAAAGTTGCCTGTTTTGGAATGTTGTCAATATTTCGACCTAAAGCATCCCCATAGGTGGAGTTCGGACGTTTTGTGTGTATTTTTGAAAGATAGTGATTCTTATGCTGCGTTTTATGGCGTAAATGAATTCGTGCTTTTTCTTATTTCTGTTATACTTCCAAAGGAAGGCATCTGGCTTCTGCTACCGTGCCAGGTCCAGATGAACCTCTGGGTACACCAAGGCAGATTCGAATGCATTTGTTAAGCGCCCCTTGAAGCTGTCGTTTACTCGTCAAGTTTATATTTGTTAGGTGTGGAATGGAGTGTCTTATTAGACCTTCAACCAGAGATTTGTACAGTAGAATCATTAATCTGCTGTTACATCCCTAAGCTGTTCCTGCGAGGCAGCGTAGAACATTGGTTGCTCCCGTGATTCGTTTTTTTTTAGAGAATTAACGTCTTTCGTTCATGAGAGATTTCGATAATTTTTTCCCTAGAAATTTATGTGCTGTGACGTAAGGAACTGTATGTCCGCCTAAAAGAATCGGATACTTTTCCATAGATTTCTTCGTAAATGCCATGGCAACCGTTTTCTTGGAAGAGATCTGGAGGCCTTTGGAATCTAGAAAACTTGCCAAAATATGGAGAGACTTTTGCAAACGCAGCTTAACAGTTAGCCTAGAGCGGGATGTAGACCACACGCAGATGTCATCTGCGTACCGTATATGCTAATACTAACTCCTCAACGAAGATGTTTTTGTTAATGCTATCAGTGTGATGTTGAATAGAGTTGGACTTAGTATTGAACCCTGAGGCACTCCTTTGACAACATCAAAATAGTTGGAATTTACTTCTGAAGTATCAATGTAAATTTTTCTGCACTTCAGATAATCGTATATCTATGTATAAATGCGTCCTCCAAGTCCTAGCTCTGCGAGAGCTATTAATACTGCCTTATGCTGAACAGATTCGAATTCTGATGTAATATCTGAAAACAGTGCTGTGGTCGTGTGACCTTCGGCTCTTCCTTCTTCGAGACTCGTTGTAAGATCAATAATGCAGTCTGTGGATGACCGTCCGCGGTGGAAGCCATTCATTTGCTCTGAATAACATTTGTTTTGTTCTATGAACCATGAAATTCTACCGAGTACCATTTTTTTTTTCATTCGCCTTCCTATACAACTCAAGAGTGCAATTGGTCGAAAAGATTCCAAACAAGCGGGCGGCTTACCAGGCTTCAAAATTGGCACAATCTTTGCAACTTTCCACTCTTGTGGTAAGGCACCTTTGATCTAGGAATTGTTGTAGGGTTCAAGAAGTCTGAGTTTGGAATGTTGGGATAGGTGTGCCACGGCGTTATACGTAATGCCATTTCTACCTAGTGCTATATGAGTTGCACCTTGAATTGCTGCATTTAATTAACCCATCAATAGTGAACAGCAAATTTAGACTTTCGTTTGTTGCAGCAGGTATAGTATGTCCCGGAGTCGAGATAGTACTACTATGTGTACCACCACTTGTTAGGAAAGCGCAGTAATTGTTCGCAGTATCGACTTCACTTTGATTTTCACTTAATGAGAGTGCTTTAAATGGATGTCGTTGTTGGAGGCTTCTCCTTAGACCTCTGATAATTGTCCATATGTATGTAAATGACTTAGGAACATCGAGATTTCTACATACCTTCCCCCACCTCTTTCTTTACTAATTTTTCGAGATGTCTCCGAATGCATAATTGTGCCCGTCGTGAAGCTCGCATATCTACCGGGTCTTTTGTGCGAAGAGCTTTCCGCTCTGCCTTCCGTCTTAAAGCACGTAGTCTTGAGTATTCTTGATCGCACGCATTTTCAACTTGACGCACAAATTGAAAAAAAAAAATGTTGCCTCAGTAAGGGAATATGATAAAGTTGGAATTAATTCATCACTTGTTCCAGCTGTTATGCCTTGTTTGCCATTTCTCTATATTTGTCCCAGTTAATGGATTGTACTTGCTTCTTCCATGAGGGTATTCCTTATAATGTCACGAGTATTGGATAATGGTCACTCCCTCGCGTTTCAAGGTCCGTGCGCCAGGACATTTGGTTGAAGAGGTCACTAGATGCGAAACAAACATCAAGTCAGCTTCCCGATTTCGCTGACATGACCTCCCCAACATCAGTCGTACACCGTGTCCAACAAAGAGAGCTTGTGTTCGAAGAGCGCTGCTGCCGATTTTGTTGCTCCCTTTCGTAAACATATGGAGGTTGATGATGCAATCTAAAGCAGCGGTAACACTGCCCCCCCCCCCAAAAAAAAAGAAAAAAGCAAGAAATAAAACGGCGTGCTGTGTCCAAACAATGGCGGACTCGGCTACTAGATGGCGCGCGCATCGGCAAAGGGTTTATTCTCAAAAAGAACCCGTTACCCCGCGCAGTATACACCATTCCAATAATGGCCTTCTTCGCGCTGCCATCTTTGTCCAGTGGACTATGGAACGCGTTTCAAACATTCGCAGTGGTTCAGCATTTTTGGCCACTGCGATAAGCGCCTGGAAGGGTATATATATATAAAACAACCTGTCTGGAAAAAAAGAAAGAAAAATGAAAATTTGATTTTCGTGACGCGGTCACGTTCAGAAGAGCTTTATTTGCACCATCACGTCGCATGAAGTCGTCGATGACGTCCATGTGCGAGCTTTCTGAGAACCTCGACCCGTGCGTGCCGTTCACTCTTTGGTGTTTTCGCAGGCCTCCTTGCACTTCTTCAAGCTTGCGAACTGCTGACAGTCGTGAGGTCCGGTCACTCTCCTGATCCTCTCACACCTTTTCGTAGTTGGGTTGTAACGAGTGTTTGCCGTCACGATGTGGGTCGTGTCCGGTGGACCTGGATTAGTACAAGCTGCAAAAAAAAATATTAATATATATTTATATATATATATATATATAATTGGAGTTTACAGAGGTTTGTGTAATGCACTCCAGTCACACTCTTACACATCGTACTCAAGACTCGGTGTCCCCAGCAGATATGTTGAAAGAATTGTCTGCACGCACGCTTCGAGCTATTTTAAAGTTTCTTGGTATGTGTACTTGGAAAATGTCTGCAGACGGTTTTTGTATGGCCCATGGGACGGGGCCGTCATGCAGGGAAGGAGCATAGTTCAGACAGTGTCTATAGGCTGTCTTTTTTATGACGTGTTCACAGTTGGACTGCGGCTCCCAGGACGTAGCCTGTTATGATCACGCTGCTTGGGAAAGAATGGAAGAAAGAAAACAGAGAAGCCCGAGAAGAGAAGTGCGTGAGCGGGGAAGGCACGCGGACGGGTTCGAGGAGTGACCAGCCAAGACTGAACCAGCCGGACGTTGCCGTGTCCTTGGGCCTTCTGTCGTCACGGCGCCGACCCGTCTAAGAGTTCGACGCTACACACGAGCGTCACCAGGCACCATGATATCTCCTTCTGGCCTCAGAAGGTTGCTCGAAGACCTCAGAAGGCCCCAGAAGGTTGCAGCGCGACGTCATCTGACTGCCGGATCCTGAGCTTCTTCAGACCTTGCTGCTTCCTCAGTCGTAATCTGACACCTTCGAGTCTGCAGCCGAGAGCCCTGAACCGAACCCACCGCGCCACTTCACACTGAAGGACGAGCGACTTCTCTTCCATCCTGGCAAGTTCGGCAGCAGTAGTATCCGCCAAGCCCCAAGGTTGACAGATGCGTGTGAGGCAACCGAACTGTCTGAAGAACAGGCTCGTTACTCTTCCTATGGCGCGTTGTAATACATATTGTTATATACGTCGTTTTCAATCCCATTTCCAATGTAGAGTAAATGTTTTCCAAACGCACTAAGTGTCTCCGTCTTATTTCCTTAAAACATACAAAAACAAAAAAGAAAACTAAACTCGTCGCAAAGCTTCTGCCGCGATCTTATTGACTGCGCAGCGATATTAAAATGCTCGGGAATTTCCACGTCCCGAATTTCTTAAGTTGTCAATAACTCTATTGAACAAATAATCAGTTCTGTGTGAATTTACAGTACAGCCGCAGCGATATCCACGACATTTCATCGAACTCTTGCATCTTGCCGCAAACATGCGATGATCTCATGGCCACCCTGTAATGGCGTTAGCATTAATCTGTGCGAACCTTGTGACACCCCTGAACGTGAGCATCAACCCTTTTTAGGAACACAACGAGGTACGCTTTGTGGTCCGTAAAGTATGCGTGGCGAAGAGCGTACAGGGAGACTCGAACGGCACGATGCGACGCCACCTCAACTGCGTCCTTCTAGCGGGCGCTGCGCGAGACTTACGTGCGCAACTGTCCTCAATATGTGCGGTTTATTAGGCGGCGCGTTGAAGGAAGCTGGAGTAACTCTGTGGTAGCCGGCTCGCCTTACAATCAGCGGACAAATTATCGAATCCTGAGAAAAACCGCGTCGTTTCTTGGTGGGAGTTTATGTTGGGAAGCACTTGGCGAACCGCCACTTGGGATGATCCCACAACACATTTCACTCTAAAGCACCGGTAACCAAGGTATCAGTTACAGTTCTTCCTTGAACCTGGCAGTCATGAGATCGTATGCTCACCGTTCACTAAATTAGGTAATTGAACAAGCGCAGTTCAGTTGAACGCACAGTGACCAAAAAACAACGCGAGCCTACCTGCAGGATAGGGGCAGACGTGCTGTGGACCGGCCTCCGCAATCTCTGTAATCAAGGAGTACAGTTGCGTCATAAATCAGCAAAGAATGTTAATGAAAATTATTCAATTATTAGACGTCACCTGTCAATTCCTTGAGCAGTCACACTTAATGCCTGTTCCCACATGCAGCGGAGCGCTACAAGCATAGCGCTTACCTTGCGCTAAGCGCGTGCTGATGGGAGCGTTCACCAGCTTTGTATCGCACCGTCAAAACTGTTGCTCATGGCAGACGATAAGTAGCTGACGGCACGTGAGGAGCGCTACATCAGCGCTTCGCTGCATGTGAGAACCGGCCTTTATTGAGGAGATAGAGCCTAAACGCTACAACAACAAAAAAAGGTTTGTGAATTCACTCTTCGGCGGAACGCTCAGAGAGCCAATCACGGCGAGAAATAGGTGAATGACAGTGAATGATGAAGTTCAGTATATGATGAGATCTAAAAAACTGCTACATAAATAGAGACAATGAGCAAGTGAAAGGTCATGCGCAGTGTTCCTGCAAACATCGCATTTTTGGTCTAATTGTATTCTGAGCTTCGTCGTTCGCAGTGATCCTGCTATTGTTCGCCGTGATTTGCTGTCCCCGTGTTCTGTAGGAAAGTGAAATCACGGACTCATTTTTTTTAGAGTGTAAGATGAATCTCACTTATACCGGTAATAGTAATCTCTAACTTTGTATGTATTCTTCAATATTCGTGGAACGAGAGTGACCCATACTCTCCCATAAATGACCCCGCCATTCAGCTTTGACTAATGTTCAATTAAATTTCGATTGAGTCGTTAAAAATGTTTTAGGGATCAGCGTTTATACTTGATGACCAGTCAAGACGGCTGCACTTGGCTGAAAGCTTGCTAAATTTAAATATTAGCTTTGGGTGGACCAGGATGATGTTGAATGTTCTGAAATACGATCAGCCGGCTTCAAGCTGCAATGATTCCATCTGCTACAGCAACGGGAGCGGCCTTTTTTATTGAGAAAGTCGACCATTTAAATTTTTTTCCTGCCATCTAATGCTACTAAATGTGGCGAATATGAGCAACAGTGTGACTTCCACTGAACCTTATTTATTCATTTTTTTTTTAATACAGTAGCCAAAGACACGAACCGAGCGAGATGTAAATGACCAGTCGTCCACCGTGCTTCAGGCGCGTGCAGATTGTCTGATAGTAACGCCTATAGAAACAAAACAAGCTACGCTTAAAAGTCACGACACTTAAGACATCTTTGTGCTTAGAGTCATTGTTCTCAGTCACCCGAAGCTTTATCTACAAACGCAAAAACTGTCTCTTTCGTCCTCCATAAATGTTCAAAACAGTCCACGACATCGATATCTTCTAAGCTTCCTGACTCCGTGTCTGAAGCTCAGGGAATCGCATTCTTTGAATCTCAACGGTCGCCAGTTGCGCTCGCTCACACTGAGCACCAAAATCGCGGTTCCCACAAGAAAAGAACAAACAGAAGAACGGATTGCCGATACTCTAACCGTAGCTTAGTTGGTGGCTCTAATCAAGGCATGCTAAGTAGTGCCCACATTCGCCAGACTGGCACCCAAATCAATCTTTTTTTTTTTTTTAATTCGCAGTTGCCAGACTAGTTTCTGAAGCGTGGCCGCTTGAGAAACGCCTATATGAGACCGGAACGTAGGCAGAAATATACTTACTACACACCAGGATGAAACAGAGTACCAGCAGGATCATCGCCTTGGTGGAGCACGCTTGCCTTGCTGCCATTGTCTTGAGCTTCTTGTCCGAGAGCCAACGAAGAGGAGAGTAACTCAGTGCTCCAATGAGGAGATATTTTTATACTATCAACAGTGACTAATATAAGCCCCACGTGACTTGCTGTAAATAAGACTGAGGGCGGTAATAAAAAAAATATATCAATAAAAGAAAGCCGTAGAGCACGTACATGCATGTATAACTTTCTAGTAACGGAGGCGGATGACAGACATAATTTGTTTCCTTCTTTGATGTGCATAAACAGCGAAGTCCTGCTCTACGTGAGACATCACACTTCGGACGCGCGGAGCCCAGAGCGTGTGGATTTCATAGGCAGATTTCCTCGCCGCCGCAAGTTATTCAACGGATGCAACGGGGATCTAAACAGGTCACGTTTTCAAAAAGCGCTGCCGTCGACTTTGTCTGTCCTTCACGCCGATGCGAGAATATTTATTTCACCGCTCATTTTGCAGTCTAAGCCCTGAAACAAGCAACTCTTAACAAAACAAGCAACAAAACAGATGATTTTACCGCTAATAGGAAACTATAGACCTTTCCAGCGGCAGACTCGAACGAAGCGATTTAGAGCGCGCGTTCCTGGTTTTGAAAGGGTATACGCCAGTGTTGCCTGACTGCGCTAGGCTGTGGGTTTTCTCGTCAGTAGGCTGTGGTAGCCTGCGTAGGCGCAATTCCGGACGCTGGTGGCGCTAAATTGCCGCGTTTTATTTATCTATTTATTGTGTTCTATGGTGAAGAGAATTTCTCGGAGTTTTTTAAGAAAGCATTGCATTATTTTTGGGAACAGAAAAAACAAATGAAAGCTATTTTTGCCGAGTCCGTGCGCGACAGACCAAATTCAACTAGAATGTTTGTTTCACCTTATGTTGATCTTTTTAACAGCACCATACACTCAGCAGTGTGAATCTACTAAGGTCTTAACTGCCTAAAATATTTAACCAGACCACAGGATAGCCGAACTGCATGGACATTCCCCGCTCACAACATGAAATTCAACGAGTCTAATCAATCGAACATATCTTGTACGAACACCACGGTGCCGCATTATCCAAACAGGATTTGAGAAAGCTCTCAAATAACACAGCATATTCAAAATACAGCGTCGACGATAGTCGCTTCACGACGATCGGACGGAATCCGCGGCTTGTCCTGGTGTACGTTTCGAAGAGTGATGCTTTTTGGCACAGCACTAAAGCAAATGACCGAACGTGTCTATTCAGTCCCATACTCCGGACACTATCAACTACTTCTCGCCAAAACCGGGAACATAGCCGGAAAGGCTTTTTGAAGATTATTTCAACGGAAATCATCCTGGAAGAACGTCGAACGGCCCGCGTCGCGGGCTGCTTGACGTTCGTTCTCTTCGCTCGTTTCCTGCGAAGGTGGAGCAGGCTACGTACGAGTCCTGACCATTCCATTTAGCGCTCTCTGGGCGGCACCATTTTGTTCGACACCAGCGCCCTCTCCATACATCCGGGAAATTCAGCGGGTTCGGCGGGGTAAAACGAGAGAGGGGGCACGCGCCCGACTCCGCTAGCAGACGACAAAACGGGAGGTTGCCATTCTCCATCTTTGGGCTGTATCGGCGGGCTGTACGGAACAATGAACTCTCGCTCGTGGCTGCCGTTGTGAAGTGGTTCGCGTTCTTAGAATAGTTATGGCTACTCCAAAATCCGCCAAGAGCCCTCTGTTGTTCTACTTCGGTAAATGATCAACTGACATATCTTTTTTCCGTTACTTAAATAGCGGTTGAGTCAGCCGGCAGTACTACCCTCAACTACTGCGTGTATTGCGGCAGGAGAGCACGTTTTTATTTATTATTTCAGACATCCACTCATGGTCACTAAAGGCCTACACCAGTACGAACTTTGTATAGTAAAAAAGGTACAGCCACCGGATCCACTTTTCGCCGGAGAGACCGGCCAGTCTGACACAGTTTTCTCTATTTTTTTTTTTATTTGCACGCAGATAACAGCGCAATTGGGCTCTGTTACTCTTTTTATCTAGCATAGTAACGCACGATAACGGGCATACCAAAATCTGCGCATCTGCGCTTGAAATTTCCAAAATGACGCGATTTTAAACCGAGTTTGTACGCCAGCCGGATGCTATAGGTACTGCCCACTCGGCGGAGCAGACGACATATGGGTGAGAGGGGAGGCATTCTTTTTTCTCTTTTTACCCTCTCTACTATTACCCTAATGGGGTTTTCCCAGCGGAAGATAACACAAAACACGCAAGCACCCTGAACAGGCAAATAAAGTAAAAACTTTCAAGGAAAGCCGGCGAACTCCGAATTCACAATGCAGGTGGGGAGCTGCACTGACCAGGTTTCCACGGCTCAGTAGGGTAGCAGAAATGTTTGGTTGATAGGGGTCGCTCGAGTCGCAAAATGGCGGCGGCCAGAGAACTCTTTTTGCAAAGGTCTATACTAGACCCAAAGTTTTTTCGCTTAAATTATATTTTTGACGGGCAATTTAGGACTCTGAATCTACCAAAACTGAGGTACATAACCAAACTTAAAGGGCAACTCCGGTCCATAATTTCGATTTTGGGATTATGGCTGTTTTTAGTGCAGTTAGCGCCCCTGAATTGCAAGGTGTAATTTTTTTCTCGTTATTGTGCGTAGTTTTAAAGATATCGACGTCTCAAAGTTTTGTTTGGGGCGCGGCCTACAAACCGAAACTAGCCGCTCGAGGTTCCGGCAACACTGGAAATCAGCCGTTATGTGGACGTGACGCCAAGATCGTTCTCGTTCAGCGAGTACGCAGTCCAAGCGGCACCTACCTCTGTTGCGCTAGCCGTCTAAAGATAGAAGGTAAGCTGATTTTGTTTTAACTCTGTATACGTGGTAGTTATCCAGCATATGTAGCAAGAGTTAGTGCGTATACCCAAAAGCTAGCGACTGGAAAACCCGTCAACTCGTTCGGTGGCGTACTCGGCGGCCGCCACCGCGCGTGCGCTATGCCGTGCCGTACGCGTTGCTTGTATACCCAAAAGCTAGCGACTGGAAAACGAGTGAACTCGTTCGGTTCCGTACTCGGCAGCTGTCGGCGTGCGTGCGGTCTCCCGCACTCGTCGCTACGCCTAAATTGTCATCGGGGCTCCGTGGATGGAGCGGCGTTGCTCTACGCTGCGCAGCCAGTGACGCACAGTGCTGGCGCTTTCGCGCGGCGGGTCAGTCCCATACACGAAGCTTTGAGGCTCTCCGGCGCGTTCCGCGACAACCGAACAGACGTGTGTCAAGCTGTAGACTTTTTAGAGCGCAGCTCTTAGGGGCCCGTTTCCGGCTTGAGCGGCGTCGGCGTCGCCGTCGGCGTCGGCGTAACTGCGCGGTGCATCATGGGAAATGTCCCATAATGCACCGCGCGAGCCCCCCACCGGGGTCACGTGACCTCGTGGGGGGCACGTGACCCCCCCCCCCCCGAAGTCACGTGACCCCCCGAAGTCGCGTGACTCCCCTGAGGTCACGTGACCCCCGCCGATGTCGCGTGAGCCCCCAATGACGTCATCGTCACTGATGACGTCACCGGCATCCACATCGTCATCGTCATCATCACTGATGATGTCACCGGCATCCACATCGTCATCGTCATCATCACTAATGACGTCACCGGCATCCGCATCGTCATCGTCATCATCACTGATGACGTTACCGACATCCGCATCGTCATCGTAATCATCACTGATGACGTCATCAGTGACGTCACTGATGACGTCACCGACATTCGCATCGTCATCGTCATCATCACTGGTGAAGTCATCAGTGACGTCACTAATGACGTCATCGGTACCCGCATCGTCATCGTCACTGATGACGTCATCAGTGACGTCAGTGATGACATCATCGGCATTGGGGGTCACGTGACCCCCAATGCCGATGCTTTAGGCAGTCATTTTAGAGCGCAGCTCTTAGGGGCCCGTTCCCGGCTTGAGCGGCGTCGCCGTCGCCGTCGCCGTCGGCGTCGGCGTAACCGCAACCCTCGTAACCCTCGTGAGGGTTACGAGGGTTACGAAGGTTAATCTCATGAGGGTTACCCTCACGAGGATCACGAGGGCCACGAGGGTAACTAACCCTCGTAACCCTCGTAACCCTCACGAGGGTTACGAGCGTTACGAGGGTTACAAGGGTTAGTTACCCTTGTAACCCTCGTGAGGGTTACAAGGGTAACTAACCCTCGCGAGGGTTACTTACCCTTGTAACCCTCACGAGGGTTACGAGGGTTAGTAACCCTCGTGAGGGTAACCCTCGTGAAGGTAACCCTTTTGAGGGTTTCGAGGGTTAGTAACCCTCGTGAGGGTAACCTTCACGAGGGTTACCCTCACGAGGGTCACGAGGGTTATGAGAGTTACCCTCACGAGGGTTACTCACCCTCGTAACCCTCACGAGGGTTACGAGGGTTAGTTACCCTCACGAGGGTCACGAGGGTTATGAGAGTTACCCTTACGAGGGTCACGAGAGTTACCCTCACGAGGGTCACGAGAGTTGCCCTCACAAGGGTTACTAGGGTTACCCTCACGAGGGTCACGATGGTTACCCAGGTCGTGACCCCCCTGTGGTCACGTGACCTGGGGATACCCCCCGAGGTCACGTGACCCCCCGTTGACGTCATAGGCACTGATGACGTCGTCAGTGACGTCACTGATGACGTCACCGGCATCCGCATCGTCATCGTCATCATCACTGATGACGTCATTAGTGACGTCACTGATGACGTCACCGGCATCCGCATCGTCATCATCATCACTGATGGCGTCATCAGTGACGCTACTGATGACGTCATCGGTATCGTCACGTGGCCCCAGGTCACGTGACCCCCCGACGTCACGTGACGCCCCAAGGTCACGTGACTCCCACAAGGTCACGTGACCCACAAGGTCACGTGACCCCCAAGGTCACGTGACCCCCCGCCCCCCGAGGTCACTTGACCCACCCCCCAGTACCCTTCCCTCCTCCTCCTCAAGAGCTGCGCTCTAATTCGGCGTTACAGGGAGTTGTAAACGGCTTTCATTTTTTTTAAAGCTAGCAAAAGTTTTTGTGGGTGATAAAGGAAAACAGAGAACGTTAGCAAGGTGAGAACACTTTCTTTCCCTTCCGCATTCCCACCCCCACCCACAACAATTTTTTTTTATTAGAATACATAGGATTTTAAGTTTTCCTTCGTAACTTTTGACTAAGGCAAGTGTGTTTTTTTTTTTTGTTTTTTGCATTTTTAAATATTATATTTACCTCCAGCCGAACTCGGGCAAATTAGAGAGTTGTAACTTACAAATCCGAACTTTCGCGATGTTAATTAATAGCGCAATGTTAATTAATACGGCTGCGTAACAGGTTCGAACGATTGGGAGGCGAATGTTTATATCGCATGAGCTTCACACGCCGGCTGTTCGCTAGTAGTCGTTACGGACCTGAATACTACGCACGAGATTGCGTAGTAAACAAGCAGTGACGCAAAGCAGAACATTGTTTTCGTTTTCATTACAAACTTGAGTGTTTGGAGCTAGTTAGTGGTTGTACTCCATTCCCCATTCAACAGACATCCAATGGACCGTGAATGCTCAATCTTCAACACTGCACTTGACAATGACTGTTTTATTTATTGATCAGGATACTTTTATCATGTTTACCTTTTCTGTACATGTACGATGGGCAAAGAGCGACGGCACGGCATCCTTTTTAAGCCTCGACCCCTTCGCTGACAAGCAACAAGTAACCAACACCTGTATATAGGTTTCGTTCGTAACTCTCCGGCGAAAAATGATCGGAGCAGAGCTTCGATCTGGGCGCCGACGTCCAAGGCTTTCCAAAGTCCACTCGTCGAACAGCGTTCACCCACACCTTCTCCAATTTCCGATCCGTTGGAAACTTGTGAAAAAGCACCTCCGGGTTGCGCAGCGGCTTGTTTGAGCAGCCCACAGCGCTTTAAGTTGTACTCGGCATCTTTCGAGGAACAGCTGGGCAGTCTTGGGCGCACCGAGTTGCTCGCTAAAACGAGTCTAGGAGTCCTCACAAGCAAATAAACAAAAGGCTATACCGAAGCTACACGGGCTACAGGTAAAAGCAACGGCTGAACACGTAATTACAAGCCGAAGTAGCGGTGGTAACGGCACAAAAAAGCGCGCGCGACGGCTGCGCCGTGCGCCCGTCCGGAACGGAGGAAAAAAAGAGAACAATGTTGACATCACGGCCCAATGTTGCTTTAGCGATCGGCAACCCGCTGGCCGCCCGCTAAGGAGCAGCGGCTCGCGGCGGGTCGCGTTTTTATTATCGGCATTAGTTGAGAATGCGGCGTCCCACGGACGTGAAATTTTGGCTGTGGTCGTATTTTGTGTCACTAAAGCGATACCAGTAATTTAATTCATCTTGAGGTTCGGCCGGAGTTGCCCTTTAACTTTCTTTGGCCAGAATCGGACTAGTTTGACCCTGAATTGACAAACAAGTGGCGGAGTTATGCTTCATCATGGTCTGTTCGTTTGTCACCTGGCTTCTGTGGACCTCAGTTTCCGAGGAAGTACCAGAATTGCACTTCCATTCTGATTGTTCGGTTTTCACTCGGAAACTTTGGGCTAAATTGCTAAACTTGTGCCAGAAATAGGTTTCACTCCTGTTTGATCAGTGGATACGTTGCGTCTTTTGTTCATGTCCGACAATATAGGTTTCAAACAAGCAAAAAGTCCTAAAAAGCAAACAAAAAATACTTCTGCACTGACTTCGGCACAGCCTTGGAACAAAACCTTGTTAGGTCCAAGCTATGACCCTATAGGGTTGCAAAATCTTGGGCCAATTTAGGCGTTCCTCTAGCGCCCTGCTTAGGGTCCGTCTTCTGAACCAACGCGTGTTTAAAGTGCGATTCGCCATTTAGGAAAAAAACATATTATCGACGTCAATAGGTTCTTATTGATGAGATCTTATGAGATCGCGATTACGCACTCTGAACTATGCGTGCTGTGTCGAGGCCATGTGCCTCTCTGCAGTTTTCTTACTTTTACAGCTATGAATCTTGAAAGGAAAACGCCATCTACACACCAAGATATGTTACGCCCTTAAAGGTGTCAAAAAAAGCAGTTACAGATCCTTACACCCATGGTTACACCTTTTCAGTGCCTCTATAGTTTGAGTACTAAATCGTTCCTAACCATAATATAGGTGGCTGATGCAAGAAACACACTTCCACTTCCTCTCGTGGACTTAAAGAAAGGAGTATGGTGAGGCTCTGTGACGCTTTACTGATATCCCGCCTCCGCTACCACCTCCCGTACACTAAACTAACACAAAGACAAAAAATAAAACTGGATGCTCTCATTCGTAAAGGCATCAAGCTCGCCATGGGCCTACCCATCACCACTAGCACCCACCGCTTCCTCGATATGGGCTATCACAATACCGTAGATGAGCTCGTTGCTATTCACAAACGCCGTCAGGAAATCCGACTCCTTCTCACCCCTCAGGGAAGACACATACTCACTCAACTGGGCCATAATGTCTCATCCTCACTTCCTCCGAAAGAAGCAGCTCTCTCCACCACCACCCGTTCACATCTTATCATAGCACCACTCCCTCGACACATGCACCCGATGCTGAATTTAGCAAGACGCGCTCAACGTATTGCCTTTTTCACACGTTACACCGCCCGCACTCCTCATCGCACATACCTCTACACAGATGCCAGTACGACTGATACTCGCACGGCAATAGCGATCACAGATCATCATTTCACTACAATACACACCGCCGTTCTTCCTCCCATGGAGCCATGCTTGGCGGAACTACACGCCATTGCAGCGGCTATCACATATACCTCCTCAGGCTCTTTTGCCTCGTCTATTCCCATCATCTTCACCGACTCTATGGCCGCCTGCCGGCGACTCATACACAACTCGATTCCACTTGCCATCGCAGAACAATTAGAACGCGACCTACTATCACCCGTTGAGGTTGTTTGGATACCAGGTCATGGGGGCATGCCGGGCAACGAGAAAGCACACTTGCTCGCCCGCGAAACGCTTCACCGGGCACCCGACATCCCCAGATCTGGCCAGACGTTTCCCGTGGCCTTACCTTCCCTCGAGTCATATAGACGAGCCCGTCGAGTCTTTCCCCCCTTCACACTCACCTCACACGTTACCAAGGCACCATCCTGCGCAACGCCCAAAGTAACACTCTTCCCACCCCAGCCCGCATCCACCTTCTACGAGGTCTACTTCCTGAGTATCCTCCCCCCTGCATCCACTGTGGCGACCGCCCAAATACACATCACATCTTATGGATCTGCCATCCCACGCCTCCACCCCTCCCTAACCTCACCTCCCTCTCCTCCCCCCCCCCCCAACCCCCCCACCCCGAGTGGCTGACTACGGCCACCACATTATCGGACCAAATTTACCTGGCTGCGTACATCCAGTCCTCACTGGAGTACGCCACCAGAGGGGGCCTGGAATGAGGCCCCCTGCTCATATTCTTTGGGCATAATAAAGTTTCATCTCCCTCCCTCTGTCTCATTTTTTAGGGCTCCTGCAGTACTGACACCTGCTTCAAACAGGGTGTTTAGCTGCGGTGTCGGATAATTATTACCTGCAACAATGCGTTTTATTTGGAGATACATTTTTTGAACATGTTCTATGTGAAATCCTGACGGGAACAATGGAGCACATGTGTTACCTTCGTAATTGCCGAGACGAACTCCCGCGAATGAAAGCCTTTGGATTTTCGAGTGCATAACGCAGTGGTGCAATCGACATGGTCGCCATTCCCACGCCGCGCGTAACTAATAGCGTTTGGATTTGCCGTTCCTGTGCACGTGAGAACTGCACGTGGGTGCTCGGTGCTTGTAAACGATTTCCTCGTAAATAACATCCTTAGGACGCCGCACCGGCGCACCGGTGCGGCGCACCGGACGCCGCATCGGCGTCCGGGGGTGGGTGCTATAACACCCTTCGGGTGTTGTCCCTGGGACGAGCAAAATAAAACACCCTGGAGAGTGCAAACTTTTTAGTTTGAAGAGCCACTAACTAATTTAAGCTAAGAGTATCGGTGCTCAGTTCGTCAAACTCCTTGGGGGTGCTTAGTGCGGATGAGGCACAATAGACCCTTTCCAAAAGTCCGCGCCAACACCTGTCCACAAGCGCCGCATCAGCGTCCGGCGACGACTCGGATCCAATCACGTGCTTCGCGGCCAAAGATAGATAGGTGGATGGATGTTAAGGGCTATACCCTTTCTAAAAGGCGGTAGCTTGCGCCACCTAGCCAAAGTCTAAAAAGACAAACATACGAATCTTCTTCCCCTAACTATCAAGTGTGGGATATCACCAAGATAACCTTTGGGGGGATCGGTCAAAAAAACTACAAACATCATTCCCCCCCCCCCCCCTCGTATCTATAATGACCGTCGACCTCCAATGTTGCTCGATGAACTTCTGGAAAGGGCCTATCAACGATCTTTTCGATCCGAAAATATGACCTTCCAAGCTTGAGATATGGTGTCAGGAAGCTCAGGTGATAACATTTTGTACGGCTTTTATTGTCACCGTTACAGAAAGGGGTCGTCGTCGACCATGCGTGTTCTCAGGGTTGCCAGCTCAAGCCTTGCTTTAGCCACTCGCAGTTTCGCAGTTCTCCTTGCACTCTTCGATGGTCGCGAACTTCTGACAGTCGTGAGGTTGGTTTATTTCCGGCGTGATCTCCTCGCACTTCATGGTGGTTGGGTCGTACTTGGCGGTCGCATTCACGAGATGACCCGGGTCAGGTTCTCCCGGCTCGGTGCAAGCTGTGGGGCGGGAAAAAGAAAATGACTATTCACATGGGTTCCGCGACGGATAGGCTTAAAAAAAAAAAAAAACGGTTTTAATCATCCCATGTCTGCTTACAAGCGTCTGCGCTGGTGCCCTGTCGGTCGAAGCAGTTAAAAGAGGCTTACAAACCGATTGAGGCACAGTCGGTCGTAGTCAAACGCAATTGTCCGCACAAGCCTTTAAAAAAACCAGGGACGGGCAGATAAACCCTATTAAGTATTCGGGCATACCGATACTAGAATGCGTGGCAAACAGGCCTAAAATGCTGACAGTCAGCTACATTGATGAAAAAAGGTGTCGCGACACGTGTCAGAAATACAGTTTCAACATATAAAAAGCATTTGAAAAACGAATACGGAACAGTAGATATATACCCTCAAAAATATTTGAGAATTCAAATAATGCAGGACAAGGCAAAGAAGCGTGAAATGTTGAAACTGAGATACATTGGTAAAAAAAAAAAAAAAAAAGGTATCGTGACACATGTCAGAAATACATTTTCAAAAAATAAAAAAAATATTTGAAGAAACAAATACACGGATACATTTCGCAGAAATACATATAGTGAGATACATCATTTCATCAATCAATTTGAGACGTGCTCATACTCTGTAGGACTGGTCGAGTGCTAGTGTATAAGAAGAAAAAAAAAACAACAAAAAAAAAAACAAGATCTACATTAATTGTGGAATATTTGTTAACCAACAAACGAGTGCCCACGGTAAGAATTCAACGTTGACGTTTTTGCGCCCGATATCAATAAACGACTATTTTAAAACTGCAACGGCACGGATCAATCGCCCCTTACAGTATCGCCCAGTGCTGTAGGCGTCCTTGAAAAAAAGTAACGAAATAGGTTACTCGTTACTTGCAAATAAAAGGACCGCGTTACCGACCTACTGACCTCGAAATAAAAGGAACGCGTTCACGTTACCGATAAAAAGTAACGCACGTTACTGTTGCGTTACTTTTTTTTTTATTATGAATGAGCACGTTTTATTTTTGACCTTACAGCTATGCGTAAGTGTCATATTTCAAGAAACATTATGTCCATACCGAAACTAAGCATAGTTACCTTATTTTTTTTACGGTTCCACCAGAATAGTCAAGAAAAAAAAACGCAAAAGAAACGAAAATAAAACGGAAAAAAATAATAATGGCTGGGCACCTATAAGCTCAATAAAAAAAGTGTACATTTTAAAGTCTTGGGAAGAATATATAACGAATAACGTAACTACGTTGCTGGTTACTCAAAATAAGTAACGTAAGTACGTTACACGTTACTGTTTTAAAAAGTAAGGAGCAACAATATTTATCCCAACAATATTTATTTACTTGGCACTGGCGTGATTTGCAATGTTACTCGAAGTCCCTCCCAATACAGGGGAATGCAGATACGTAACGGGAAAAAGTAACACGTAACCGGTAACGCCGTTACTTCTAACGCGTTACCGCCAACACTATCGCCATACCAGGAATGCACCAGAAAATATATCTTCATTCAAAGAAGCAATAAAAAGCTGAAAGAAAAAATTTATCGAGATAGAATGTGTGTATATTATGGTTGGTTCAACTAACTCAGGCACGGATTTAGGATCGAATTTTAAATTTTTAAAAAAGAAAAATAGATATTTTAGGGCAATTTATATAATAAAAGAAGACACAAACGGCAATTTCGTCAGATTTTTCGTTCTCAAGTTATGGACAGTTGAAACGGCCAAGGTGGAAACTGACATTTTTCCAGCTTATCGCGGGTGCCATATTTCACTCCATCCCTTTTCCCTACATCTTACGCTACATTAATATCACTTTTCGGGAACACTCTAGACATATCCTCTTTTATGCTAATTAAGCGTCTAGGTCATAACGTTTTTAATTTTTTTTGTCAACTTTTTTCTCTGTGACGATATTTGACGAAGTTCAGCAAGTAGTGCTGTGTGACCTGATCAAGATATTTTTATGATCTTTATATCACCATAAAGCGCCAATTAAGTTATTTCTCTAGAATATTATTTTAATATTTTGCAAAAAGTATATAATGCGCTACATGTGCCTGAAAAACGAATATTTCGAAAAACTAGAAATTTTGGAGTCGATTTCCTAAAAAAAAAGCACTTATTTTTTTTTTTTTATTCACAGCTAGTTAATATAGTAGTCTATCAGGAACTACCGACAGAAATTGTAATATATTGTTTGTATGACCGCTATTAGAACTCGAATATCGTGCTATGAGCGTTTTGAACGGGACTTCGCACAGGCGCTCTGCTGAGCACAATTTTTGCCTATGTAAGGATTTCTATTTATCGTTAGCAGTTACCTCAATATCTAACCATAAACATTATATCAAGTTTTGAGTAGTGTGCTTAAAAAAAGAATTAACTTCGAAGTCCGTATCCACAAGGGCGGGCACAGCGCTTACTCTCTCCCAATACGGGGGAATGCAGATTGTTAGAGAATTCCTCTGGGGCCTTTTGCTTTCGGCTTTGAGCTTGAAATACCGAACTTGACATGTAATTATCATATTTTCCTATGTCAAACAGATATGCAGTGCATATACATATGTACGATCTAGTACCTGACGCTTAGGAAGTACGGTTTATTTTGTGCGCGTACGGTCTCTTTCGTAAGTTAACGAGCATTTCGTAGCGTGGCTTCAAATGTGTTAGTCATGTGCTTAGGTTTCATTTCTAATTTCAGTGATTCATGCCGGGTTACTTAGACTTTTCCCTCATGACTTAAGTTGTCCATGAGTCTAGATGTTACGTATCTCCTCCGTCAAAACATAGGGCGAAGCCCACACACCTCGCAAATCACGCCAGTGCACTGCCAAGTAAATAAATATTCTTAGGATAAATATTGTTGCTTCACTGGCTTTTACGCCAAGATATTGAAGTAAGTACTAACATTAAATAGGAAACCTTACATAGGTCAAAACTCTGCTCAACTGAGAGTGTATGCGAAGTCCCGTTTAAAACTCTCACAGCAACAAATTCGAGTCCTAAAAGCGGCCATACAAAAAATATATTACAATTTCTGTTGGTATTTCCTGATAGACTACTATATTAAATAGCTGTGAATAAAAAATAAAAAAAAATAAAAAGTGGTTTTTTTTAGGAAATCGACTTCAAACCTGCTCGTTTTTCGAAATAGTCGTTTTTCAGGCACATGTAGCGCTTTGTATACTTATCGCAAAATATTCAAATTACATTTAAAAGAAATAACTTAATTGGACCTTTACGGTGATATAAATATCATAAACATACCTTATTTAGGTCACACATCACAGCTTGCTGAACTTCATCAAATATCGTAGCAGATAGGCGGTTTGACAAATAAAAAAACAAACGTTAAGAATGTTATGACCTAGAGGCTTAATTAGCATGAAAAAGCCCATGTCTAGGGTGTTCCCAAAAAGTGATATTGATGTAGCGTAAAAAGTAGGGAAAAGGGATGGAGTGAAATATGGGCACCCCCGATAACCTGGAAGATTGTCAGTGTCCGCCTTAACCGCTTCAATTAACGGTCCATAACTTGAGAACAAAAAATCCGACAAAATTGCCGTTTGCGTCTTCTTTTATTATAGGAATTGCCCGAAAACACATATTTTTTAATTAAAAATTCGACCCTAAATCTGGGCCTGAGTGGAGATGAATCCACCCAGATATATATATATATATATATATATATATATATATATATATATATATATATATATATATATATAAACTGTCTTTCTAAAATACTATCGCGATACATTTGTATCGCAATATTGCCCGACCTTATAGAATAGAACACATATGAGAACGAATAGAAAATTGGACGGAAATGATGACCTGCACGACAAATTCTAAATCATTAGCTTTTTTTTTTTTTTTTTCCTTTTTTTAGCAAACCGCGTTTGGGGATTTCGCGTATCAAAGTCGAAAATACCGTATTCCTCGGATTACTGTCCACGGATTACGGCATGTTGAAAAGCCGAAATTTTACATGGTTCGGAGTTTTACGGGTCTACGGACTTGTTACACGAGAATTTGTATTCGCTAGATCGTTCAATATGACAAGAAGTGTCCGATTAATAGGATCGATCGGACGCTTGAGTTCCTGCTTTCATCCCGTTGATTCAAGGCCGGGGTCTCCAAACCCCGGCCCGCGAACTAAGATCCGGCCCGCCAAAGTCTTACGACAGGCACGCGGTCGTCCGCGGTGTACTTCCAATTGAAATAATAAAGTATACGTGCGTCGACCACCATTAGGGTACTTTTTTTTAATATTTAAACTAACAATAATTTTTTTATGTTGAATGGTTATCTAGAAGTGTTTATTTAGTATTTATTTTTCTATAATTTACGCTCCCCACCCCCGGCCCTCGAAACTACGACAGATCCCTAATCCGACCCGTTAGGAAAATATTTTGAGACCCCTGATTTAGAAGATCGATGGAAGCATAATTAACGTCTTCTGTTCTTTATTTTTAAGTTATTTTTTATTTTATGAAAATCAACGTATTTTTTCTACATGCGGGGGTTTAGACAGCGAAAAGTTCCTTCACTAAAATAGTGTATGTCGCCTTCGTTGGTAATGGTCGATTTGTCCAGTGCAATACTATGGTGCCTGGAACGCGTCTCCGACTGGTGTGTTTACCGCGGCCAAAAAAGTGGTCCCTCGATTTCCGCCTGATGACGTCATACAAGTGTCAGGCTGTCGCCGGTCGCGACCCTGGCGGCGTCCCAACAGTTGTGGTATAAATGGCAGACGCCTGACCTGCTGCAGGTTTCTCTCCACTGTGGCAGTTCACGGAAGCTAGAGCAGCCGGAAGTTGGGACGCCTGGGACGCCGTGACGACAGTGACACTCGCGTTCGCTCGTGCTTTTCGCCAGCCGCCAGGATCGCGACAGGCAACAGCGTGACATTCCGGCTTCTGTTACGTCATTTGTTGCCACTTGGGGACCAATTTTGATGTATGGGCGGTATAGGA